TGTACGTGCTGTTGGAGGTGCCGTCAAACGTGTTGGTACTTCAGTTGTAAATGCCGGGAAGAAGGTTGTCTCAACTGTGAAAAAGGTTGGAGAAGCAATTAAATCTGGTAGGTGCTTGTTTTGTCACGATAATGGGCATTTGGTTAAGTCAACAAATAAGGTTTAAGGATAACCTCTATCTCATCATACATCGTATGTAAACCAACATTGTACCACTAAATTATACTGAAGTGATTAATCAGGAATGGGGCAAGATACGCTCATGGATGGATAATGTTGAATTACTGGGCAACGATTTAAGAGGAATCCGGTAAAATAAACCTTCCAGTACTGTCTTTATATATTGATGGTACATATTTTAGGAAAGGTACGGATAAAAAACCCAACCTGTCTATGTCTCTGTCTGTTTGATTTAGTGTGAAATCGTCCTGACCAGTGTATCGTTGTTTACACTTGTCATGTTGGTCCATGTCAGTAATAAACGTATCCTTATAACTATTTACGTGACCAGGCAAACGAGACGTAAGCGAGTTTGACGTGGACGGCGACGGGGAAGTCAGTGACGACGAGATCATGACGGTGCTGGCAACCAGAGACGTGGAGGACCTTGTCCAGGATGGTTACATCACAGGTAAGGGAGATAACCACTCTAGTGGCGAAGGGTCACGATTTTTCTTATTGCAAGTAACACTCACATTTGGGGAGAGTTTTTGATAAATGTTAAAGTTGGTCAATCTAAGATGAACGTCCAACATATGTAACAGGCCCTACTGTCTGCCTTCCTTGGTATCCATAGCTCCATGGCCTTCACTTTGTGTTTCCAGAAGCAGACAAGGAAGACATCAGCCTCTATCAGCGTCACGTCCGTGAAGCTGTAGACCTCGAGCTGGGTAAGATGTTAACATTGCAACATTTCTGCAAAATCGTGTATATTCCGGATCAGCGGTTTTTAACTGCATCTTATTCCATCTGAATGATCGCCCAGCATATGTCCATGTAGACATAATTCATTTCACTGTGCAGTACGCTGAAGACATAGAGTTGTGTCGGTTATGGCCTGAAGTGATTTCACAAGAAGAGTCCACTGTAATGTCTGTGGAAGGTATAAAAAGCTTTGATGACACATTGCCATCATAATACCTAAACGCTTAACTCTTTTCTTCGCCTATTCCGCCCCTGATATTGCTGGAATATTGCAAAACTATATCACTCTCTTCGACTATGTTGATTCTGTGGACCAGACAGTGTCTTATAACGCCGTCACCAGAAAGCATATTATTGACAAAATATGTACATCCCTCTCTTCATGTTATCATCTTGTGTTTATTTTCTCTTTCAGAATAATCGTGTTGACAAGAGAAAATATAAGGTGTCCTACTCATCTTTCATATCTGTAAGAACAAGAGTATAAACATAAATAAAGTCACAGGTATTACGTGTGTGTTTGTAATATGTTAGTAGGTGGAGGTGGTGAGTGAGTGAGTGAGTTTAGTTGTACGCCGTTTTTAGCAATATTCCAGCAATATCACGGCGGGGCACACCAGAAATGGGCTTCACACATTGTGCCCATGTGGGGAATCGAACCCGGGTTTTCGGCGTCACGAGCGAACGCTTTTACCACTAAACTACACCCCAGTTGGGGTGTAAAGTGGTGTAACCTTGTCGTAGCAAAGTACCGGTTTTTAATCAAAACCTGACACGACTGCAAATTCTGCTTTCTCCCGCCGTCAAATTGTTGACGAGTGTTGACCAGTTCTGTGTGTGGATTTGAATCCCGATATGTACACTATACGTCTATACTTGATTGAAAAACTACTTTCGCCTTGAGCTTGTCGTATGGAGGACAGAGGCGCGTTTGTTGTTTCACCGAAATACGGCTAATTGTGGGATAACATTTGCTGCTGGGTATAACGAAAATGTTGCTGTGTGACGAGAGAAGAATTGATTTCACTGGGGAAAACATTCTACCTTCGCGAAGGGATGCATTCGCGAAATTGAATGCAAAAATGTTCACGGAACGTATTAAATACATTAATTCCAGGCAGCTGCTGGGCTGGTCGGCAAATTCCCAGAGGCAAAAGTTTGTCACACCAAAGACGGAAAAATATATCATTTCATGTGACCCTGCCTGGCGCTCGGCATTAAGTGGATCAAACTAGCACTGATCTGGTTGAGCTTAGTTGACTGTCTGAAAGGGGTATCCACTTTAAACACCAGCATGCTATCTCCGTGGGACTGTGCAACAAAACTAGCATTACTACGGACCAGGACAAGCGTGCTAATTTTGTGTCGTCACACATTAGCTCTCTATAATCATACATAGAGGGCAGTGGCATGCTGTTTACTATATTTAGACTGGACGACAGGATTGGTCTGGAAATTTCCAGCCCTATTCCAGGATAGTATTATGGTGCTTTGTGTGAGTACCCAGGGGCGGATACCGCTATTTGAGAAAGGGGATGGGGGTGCACAGTTAATTATCACTAAAACGGGAGTTTCAATAGTCATTTAATCAACTTTCAGGACATAAAACACACACATCCCACCCCCAAAAGGACCCCCACCCCCACCCGCCCAGGATCCGCAGTAGTACCAATTGGCTTTCTGGTCAAATTCCTTCTAAGTGGCGTGCTAGTCGTTATTGGGAATTAGCTCGGATTCCGAAGTCACAAGTAGATAATTACGAGAATATTTACCAAAATGAATTTTATCGGCAGATTTAACGTGCGCTTCCCGACATTATGCGCATTTCGCAAACGACCGCCAGGCCATTTAGTGTTTGCTCAAGAGAGGGGTGATTTGACCGAAAGGTATGGCAACCTGAAGGGTTGCATAATTAAATTTGTATGAAATTTAAATCTGGACATTTGCCGGAAATGGTAGGGTAGCTGAACTACGGGGTGGTTATTTGGTATTAATTTTGTTTGTATTTATGTTTTGTTTTTTGTTTAGTTCAGGTTATGTGGTTTTAAATTTTTATTGGTACAAGTTGGTTATTTTGGATTATGTGCGACCTAGAAGGCCAGGTTTGATTAGAAATATATAACTAAGGCTTTGAGGATTTGGGTGTTGTTTGTGGTGTTTTGAGTGGGTTTTTTGAGTAGATGTTTTAGTTTAGAATTTGAATGTTGGTATTTACTTTGCCACTCTTGGAAGGTTTTGCGTTTGCATAGGTTTTTTATTTCGCTTTTACGTAGTGGTATGTTTAAGTTAACTTCTGGGAGTTAAGTGGGCGTTAAGACATGGTCAGGGATCCATATAAAGTGTACCTATTTGCCTTAGGCCTGGAAGATCCTGAGCGCATTTTCGTATTTTGTGCCTAACGTTTCTTGTTTAAACTATTTATTCAAAATTGAAACAATAAAAAGGTTATGGTATGCTGGTGATACGAAATGGAGTGTGTCCTATCAATGTGTGCAATACAATAAATGAAATGACATTTATTGAGGGGAGTAGTAATCCTACATTGAACTCACACTAATCTCGTTGACACATTTACTGCATGCTTGGATGATTATAGTATTGCAATAGATGCACTTACCCTGGGCTAAATCTTAATGAGCCTAAATTGGATCTGCATAATGTTATTCTAATATTGGTAATGACATGTTTCCTTTAGAAAAAATCAAGGTCCTGTATTAAAGTGTAGACATAGCTTTTGTTTTACTGAAATGTGTGTCAACGGAGTGAGTCTAGAATTTATCTAGAATCATTTGTGAAACTATGTAGTCGTCACTTCTGCCTTTTTGAATCATGTGCTTGTGGGGTGACTTTTTAGGATTTTAGACTGGTGTCTTTCTCTAAGCTATTACTGATCATGGTGAAACTAATAATCTATATTATATTTTCCTAATATCTGAATCCTAATATATCGCTTCTTGAGGTTAATAAATGATCATGATTTTTGGTATAAATTATTCCTCCAGGATAGTTTTAAAGTTTAAAAAAACCCGTATACTCAGAGGCGAAAGTTACTGGGAAATGGAAATCAGTGTTTTCATTGGTAATCTTGGGAAAGAATTTTTGGATTTGAACCACGGAATGAGTGTATTTATCAAAATGTTCAAAGAAACGCAACCAAACGTTTGATGTTCGAATTGCAATTTCGCAAGAAGCAAGACATACTGGAAAGAAATGGCCAGCAATGTTCACTTTAAAAGGCGAGCCAGACAAACGCTTATCATATCCACTCAATGCAGTCTTAAGATGTGGTTTGGTTGGTTGGTTGGTTGGTTGGTTTGTTGTTTAATGCCGCACTCAGCAATATTCTAGCTATATGGCAGCGGTCTGTAAATAATCGAGTCTGGACCATGCAATCCAGTGATCAACATTATGAGCATCGTTTACGCAATTGGGATACGATGAGATGTGTCAACCAAGTCAGACGAGCTTGACCACCCGATCCCTCTCATGACAAGCATGAGTTACTGAAGATCCATTCTAACCCGGATCTTCACGGGTTTTAAGATGTGGAGAACGCCTGTATTCATCGTTCTGGAACAAGTTGGACATGCCACGCCTCATGATGGTGAGCTACTATCGGTATGCTTCAGTCTGGTATCTGGCATCACGACGGTGCTCGTCGATTCAGCGTCCACAGAAACACTGTTTGGCACGTTTAAAGAAAAAAATATCCCTTAGTGGCCGCCCACAAGTAACGATCCCAAGTCAAGACGGATGGATTCGAACACAATTTCTAGATGAACTTCATGTTTCAATTTGGAAATCCACATGAAACAATATAAAATATGGCCCATCAAATTCGTTTCAAAATATTCAAACCTGTTTCATTCTCTCACGTTGAATATATACTTTGTGGTCTTGACAGAATACTTTCTGCGTTTACTTAAGACATTGACTCCAACAACTTGAAAAGGATTCTATTTGTTGGACTGTTATCAAACTTGGATTCTAGTTTTGGATATTTTCACCAATATACTTAGATTGTTTGTAAAAATATTTTGTAACTATATTTGGTATTGAAAACAGACGCGATGAAATGTCGTCGTTGAATTTTATTGTCGATTTTATTGTCAAAAGCCAAACGATCTCACAATCGATATTACCTGAAAAATAAAAGCATTTGTTGATAATTATTGAGCACACAGTCATGTAGTTATAGTAGCTTTACCATTAATTTGGTATGTCGTTAAACGTACCAACCGAGCAATAGTTACATCTGGACGATTACACTGAGAACAATATTGTGCGGTTTGATGGGGGTTCCCTGCCCCGGTACATCAGTATGATCTACATACATCTTATTTCGACGGAGCAGGTGAATCCTGTGTGTCGAGGTGTAGATGCATAGCTGCGTCTTCAGCGTCTCCTACGTCTCGGCGTTGCCAATGGCATTTGCCATGCAGTTTCTTGCACGCTGTATGTAAAACAAACACAAGGAATAACATCTTAGACATAGCTTCATAGTGACACCTGGATTAAATATCAGTAAATCAGCAGTACTAATGAAGAAATCGTGACAAACTGTGTATCGATATTTGCAATTATAGTGTAAGGAAATGTGTGGACATGCATGGATGACAATGCAAACATAATGGTATAAAGCTTCATTGTTGGTGTATTGGCTCATGGTTAAAGCTAAAAACTACACCATAGCAAACAGCTGTTTGTTATTGACATGAACAATAACTAGTTAGATTTGTGTGTTGTTTAACGCCGCACTCAGCAATATTCCACTTATATTACCAAAGCTCCACTTATATGGCGGCGGTCTTAAAATAATCGAGTCTGAACCAGACAGTCCAGTGATCATCATGAGCATCAATCTACACAAATGGGATACGATATGCGTCAACCAAGTCAGCGAGCCGGACCACCCGATCCCGTTAGTCGCATCTTATCAAAGGGCATTGGGTTGCTGACTGGTAAAACTAGTTGCCAGTTATCCGGGCATTTATTTATCTTTTATGAATTATCATTTCTAGATGGGCCTTTGTTACATATCGCATTTGGAATAAATATAAATAACAGGAAAAATTCCACATATTTTCCCCAAGCTTGGGATAAATATTGAATAACGTCACCTTCAGAATTAAAACACATACATATATCTGTCGCCGCCTTTGCAGGATCATGGTTCACATACCGTTTGAAGAGTTTGCTTGGCTCCACTATCGAACACGTCAACCAGAAGATTACATGTCAACATCTAAATACTTGTATATACACAAACATATGCAAACGTACGTCTTGTTCCCCTAAATAGCCTCCGAAGCCATGAACGACGTCTCCATGCGTCACCGGAGTGTAGCAGCAACACTGCGGCGACTAACACCACAAGCAACACCGTGGCCTTCATCTGAAACATATGGAACAGTTTCACAGTATGTGTGTTGGTGTTTTTCAAATACAGAAACCAAATAATCTCAGCGTATATTGTATACAACTAATTTGTGACTACACTGTTTCACCTGCCCCCATATACATCATATACAATAAATAAAGACTGACAAATATTCACTGTCTGAGATTAATACATTTATTAATACCACACATTCGATATTTACTCACATTGAAAGGAATGTATATTGTAGTTGGGGAATTAGGAGTTAAATGCACTGTCTTTAACAATTAGATTAATGTTAGACTGAATTTATCGTCTCTAAATTTCATTTGAAACCGAACACATCTGTTGTGTTAATATGTGTAACAGTGTGGCAGTGTTGTAAGCGGAAGCGGTCATAAAATCAGACGCATTTTCTCTCAATCCAAAATGAATGTGTCTAATTGTATTGATTGTCCAATCAAATTCGGGTATTTTACGTAGTCATGGTAGAGTGAATGATATCATTGTTTGCTGTAAGTGCTATCTAAAATTATTAAAAAATCTATGATAACATATCATTCTAGCACGACAATGTGTGATACTCGATTCTGATTGGCTGAGAGCTCATCAAAACCGTACTTAAATGACAGTTTAAGGACCGCTAATTAAAGTGACCGATTCACCGGGTATGAATACAACGAACTCGTTGACCCTATTGTTTGTAAACAAACATGTCGGACAACGGCAATTTCTATCTCGGCAGCATCTTTGGTGTTTTTGAAGTAAAAAGCGAATGGTTTGAAGAAGAATTTTTTTACCCTAATCCCAGTGAAGAAACGAAGCTGGAAAATCCGTCAGCAGCGCAAAAACGGCAGTATATTCAAAGCGACTCCAGATCTACGTGTGTAGACGTCGACAAAACACGTCGCCCCACACATCCTTACCTGACCGCTTCCGTCCCGGCCGTAATGCCCAGTCTTCCACTTCCACTGTCCATGTATCCCACATAAAACGTGTCATGTCAGGTCTTTTCCAAATTGGGAATAGTAGGGTGGTTATCAACAATTATTTCCGTGAATAAAGTTAGTAGCGACTAAACTTAGCGAGTTCACGGATTTCATTTGGGCGAGTCGATTGTCATACAGGAGGGGAGATCAATAATTCGCTTGAGAAAAATCAAATAATTGTACTTGCTCACAGTATTAACTGTATATTTTTTTATTTAGGTATGCTACTTGTTACAAATACAAGCATACTGTTTCCTGAAATTTAGCATTTATGTTGTTGAAAATGTTTTATTTTGTTCATTACACAACCTGTCCCTCAACCGGACGATTCCAAGCGATTTCCAGGACAAAAGGCCCCTTTGCGCCTTGTGTTCTTGCGCGCCAAACAGTTCGGTTTTAAAACGCTTATCAGTCGTGCTAGAATGAAGATAAAGCTACTCTGTTTTCAATTTTGCGGTCCTTTATCGTTGATTTAAGACCGCTAAATGTTTAATTTAGCGGTCTTAAATCAACGATAAAGGACCGCAAAATTAAAAACAGAGTAGCTTTATCTTCTAATTAAATGAATCCCTGATGTCACCATAGCAAATGTTAAAATTATTTTAGATGTTAATGTATTACAAGTGCATCTTTTATATAAATATATTTCCAAAATATAAATTTCCCTGAGCGGCATTTTAGAATGTGGGAAGTGAAGTAATGACCATTATTATGGATTAACATGGTTTTTTTTTTATCTCTTGAGTGCGACGATACAAATTATTGTGCCGTTTGATTATCTGTATCGAAACACTTCACTCACGAAAAAAACGACCTTGTTATCCATAAACTCGTTCAATATACAGTGGAAGTCCTCTAAACCGGCATTCGTTGGGAACGGCACACAATGCCGGTATAGAGGGCGTGCCGGATTAGAGGGCTTCCACTGTACCAACATATAACATTTTTAGTTAAGTTTTTGATATTATTATTCATTGAGTGATGTCCCAAAAAAGTTGTTATTTGATTAAACGGGTTCCTACAATGCTATATCAACAGTTCATTTGCGACAACAATAAACGAAAGAATGACGTAAAATAATGAATAATAATATCGCATATCATATAATTTTCATAACGTCCTACCTTGTTAATGAACAAATTCCAACTGTGCTTTAACCTCTGACAGTAGCTTGTTTGTAACTAGGATGTATCACAATCAACGACCAATCAGACCCATATGTCGGACGTGTTTATTGCAAATTAAGGCGTGCAGCAGTCGGGATAATGATTGCAAAGCAGATAACACACTTACATTTGACATGAAAGCTTTTACACCATCAGTCCAGATGGTAATTATTCACGGTACTGTACGTGATTGGTTTAAGCTAACCTGGCACGAAATGCCAGATTTGAGATTGGAGAGCTTTTTGGGTCCAATCACGGCATGTCAACTCATATGGAATGAGAGCCTAAAGAGATACAATAGTATCAGGAGATGTGTAATAGATTTACAGCGATTCTTGTATATTTGATTTCACATTTTCATTAACTGGAACATCATGAAATACTAACTATATACAGCCAAAATATGGCATTTTTGTCTGCAGAACTCACATGTCTATAAGTCAAAGACATCACAACAAAATATCAATGACAATATAATAGACAGCAGAGCAAATATCTGTTCGTGTTGGAGGGGCAATTACACATGTTGTTCACATGATGCATGAAGTGCGAATATACCATGGTTAGAGAGAGAGAAGGGAGAAAGAAAAATATTTTATTAGTGTATTCCAGTCTACAGAATGAAAGTACATAAAATGTGATTATAATTGGAAAAGCGACGGCCAACATCGGTCTAAAAGACACCAACATTATTACATAAATACTAAATGGATATTTTTCTATAAACCATAAGACTTGCACTCGAGTAAAATATTAGGGTAATACTACGCACCATGTATATATATATACCCCCACTCCAACCGGCGCCGCTCCACCCTACCTCCCCACAGACCGCTACATGTATGCACACAGAAAAGGATTTAGACGACAATCCACGCGTCCATATGTTCACAACCAAATGCAACAATCATGAAATCCAACCATGAACTAAACCCATATTATACTGTCACATGTCACAACCATATACAAAGTCATAGAACACAAACGTGTATTAAAACCATATATCCCAACAAATGTCTCAACCATATGTCACAGTCATGCAACTAAAACATGCACTAAAGCCACATATCACATCCATGAAACAAACATATAGCACAACCATATACAATACACTAAAAGTATGTATCACAACAACACGTACCAACAATGCAACACAAACTTTGTCATGTGGCAGTGTTGTTCATTGTATAACACTGTCACTGTATGACATTGTTTCTGTTGACATTTTTGGGGCAGTGGTTTGAAAAAGTTATGCTCGTCCTACACCGTATTGGCCTTTCTAACATAGTCTGTAGTTAGGCTATACATAGGGAGTGCGTTTGTGTCCATTGAAACTCACTTTACATGACTGTCAAATATAGGTAAATCACTTCCACCTTGAATTCTCAGCCTAGGCCAATGTTGGGTGAAGTGAGGAGAATATCATAATCATTTTTTTCAGTTATAATTAATGCCTATATTACATTGCTGTTGTATTTATACTGCCACTCTGCACTGCCATTGTAAGTCATTTGTAGTAATTTGTAAACGTTGCTAAATACAATTGGTAATTATATCCAATTTCTGCATTGTTCGTTGCTTTCACACCGAGTCTTTAATTGACTGATTTCTGGTTAAATTATAGTTTCGTTTTGGGAACTTAGACGTAACAACATGTACTAAAACATGTGTCACAACCATTCAGTATGATGTGACCTTATCTATGCTACAAACAGTTCATGTATTAAATGAATATATAAATGACAGTATGGTGCATTTTGTTGTATTAAGTATAAAAACAATCAAAATCGATGATCATATAATGACAATACACATACATATTTACGCTACAGTAACTCCATATAATATGATGATGGCGAACCCCAAAGACGTCATTAAAACCCTACCTGCCCAGGAGAGGAGTACGCTGTCTACATTTGAAGCACCTGTGGCAATACAATCAGTCGACTCATCATGAATCAGGCTCTAGGTGACAACGCCAATAACGGAAAATGACACTTTGATGCCATTTGGTCACACGCGATCTATTATTTCATTGAGCTGTTGCAAAGTTGGACCTTGTGATGTATGCAGCTCCATTTAAGTAGCAAGATGTTACATCAGATTTACCAACTGATTGCCCTTCCCCCGATTTGACAGTCTGGAATGGAAATGAATCAGACTAGTGACACTCACCAATCTGTCTCATATTTTGACGTTTGTGTTATGTACCAGAGTGACAAAGCACTCGAAGACTGTATGACTTGGCAATGGTGAACTTTATGTTGAGCAATATTCCTACAGCTCTAGTCTTTGGTGTTTACATTTTGCCTATGTGTGGTACAATCGAACATAATGTTTCTTCAGCGCCAGTCTTTGGTGTTTACATTTTGCCTATGTGTGGTACAATCGAACATAATGTTTCTTCAGCGCCAGTCTTTGGTGTTTACATTTTGCCTATGTGTGGTACAATCGAACATAATGTTCCTGCAGCTCCAGTCTTTGGTGTTTACATTTTGCCTATGTGTGGTACAATCGAACATAATGTTTCCACGATTGAACATACTCTTTCCTTATACCTTACGTTAGCGTATGTATATCCTTGTGACGTTGTCATCGCTGGGGCAGGATGTGCTCTCCCTTTCGCGAATATTTGGTATCTTCACTATTTGATTTAAATTTACATCTTCTCTTTTGGTGGAGTATTTTGTGAATATTGAAAAGGTTTGGTCGCATTCAGTTAGATAACATAAAAGGGTATTGTCATTGAAACAATGACCCCTTTCAAGCGTTGAATGAATGAGTGAATGCATGTCTTTATTTCCTCCAGAATCTAGAATATTTCGATTGCACTTGGAATACAGCTAGAATGTGCATCGAACAGACCAGCTAGAATGTGCATCGAACAGACCTCGAATACAGTCAGAACGTCCCGAATGCTCTTCAAATGAGCCCTGACGTCATCAGACCACCGCCGAATCGCATGAAAATGTAGCCACCTGTCACTGAAACTTCAGATATCACTCACATCTTCAAGCTGCGCAAGTTGTCTCCAGCCTCCTGGCACCACGTTGTGCTACATCTTCCTCATCCACAATACCATTGTGGAGATTAGGATAACGATTCCTCATCACGTTTTGCAGGCAGACACAGCATTCAATGATGTCGTTCACAACGGAAGGCCTTGGCAGCATGGTGGTGAGGAGGATTATCCAACTGTATTTGGGCCATGATTCCAAATGTATTTTCGACTACCCGTCGGCCCCTTCATACCCTGTAGTTGTAGATTCTCTCGTCTCTCTGGAGAGTCCAATGACCATACGGTTTCATCAAGAAGGCCCTTATTCCAAAGGCATCATCTTCCAGAATAAAGCATGGCATACGCTCGTCATCTTGGGGTAAGGGAAACGGATCAGGACACCCCATGCTCCCGTCTTCGAGGCAATGCTTGAGCTCGCACTCGTTGAACTTCTGAGCATCAGACATACTTCCGTAAGCACCAACGTCCACCCTCAGGAACTTGTAATTTCCATCCACAAGGACCATGAGGACCACAGAGAAGAATCCCTTGTAGTTGTGGTACAATGAGCCGCTCTTGGCAGGTTTCCTAATAGCCACATGTTTGACATCTAAAGCTCTTACGGCATGAGGAATATTCCACCTGTTTCTGAATACCTCTTCAATGGGTGCCCATTCTTCTTGAGTGGTAGGGCACATGATAACCTCATCCTTGTATTCCTCCATAATTACCATACATACTTCTGGGATGATCAGGCTGATTGTGTTCCTTGCCACGCGGAGGCTGTATATGATGCTGGGGTACCTATCACCTGAAGCCAGGAACCACAATGTGATGGCTAGCTCCAAGCCTGGAGGTAGCGCTTTTCTCATATACAGAACAAAACAGAATTTTGTTCTGCTTTTCTCATATATGTATCCTGCATCTGTATTCTTGGTCTCACTTTCTGCACCAACTCATCAAGCATGGCAGGCTCCATCCTAAGGTAGTTGAAAAATGACTGTGTGTCCTCAACTCTGAGTTCCTCCATCAGTCTTGTAATGACCATACAGCCTCCTCCTTTCCTCTGTCAGCCATGGTCTGGTTTGGAATCTCCTGGGCCTTCTCCTGTTTCTTCTCCTGGTCTCCTCCACATCAATTTCAATCAGGGCGTGCTGGAGAACACCAATCTAAGGCAACGCAACATGGTCCAGGGGGTCCATACTGTATAGGAGTTGGGCAGAGACTGATGAATAGTCCAGATTCAAGAGGTTGTTATACCCCATGGTGGAACATTCAAGCATCATTCTTGATGCATTTCGGACATTCGTGTTACATTCTAAGTGCATTTGAAGGACATTTGAAATATTCGATCTGCATTCTGTTTTAATTCTTTAACATTCTATCCATATTCGGGGGTCATTCCAAGAGGGTTCTGAATGCATTCTATGCAAATTCGTACGGCAGTCGAAATTCATTTTAAGTATTCTTAGTGTATTCTAACGGCATTCTAATTATTCCTACTGTATTCCGATTCATTCGAGCTGCATTCGTGATATAGTACATTTGGAATGAGTAAAAATTATTCGAGGCGGATTCGAAGTGCGTTCTAAGTATTCCAATAGCATGCTTACAAAGTTTGATTTTTTTTCTATTTTGACATTCTCTCCCGAATGCAGTTCGAATTTTGGAAATATTTATTTTCCGGCTGATTCTCCTTGATTCCTGTTAATTTGAAATAAGTGTGAAGGACCCTTTACTCAGAACAAATACATGATGTTAATATGTACATGAATATAAATATGAGTCCTAGTGACACAAGCTGTACAAGTAAATAATCGATATCACATATGTACACAAATGACAGCTATTGGTGCACAGCAGATGAACAGAGAGGATGGTCTAATACATTTTTCAGATGAAGTACTTATTTACAGAATAATAATGATATACTTTCCCAAGTGGTCTGGCTAACAATTCCAGGTACTGTTTGAGCCGAACCCCATGGGCCTTCTCATTTTATTCTGATTAAGGGAGTTGGACATCTCAGTTACAAAAAACCCCAGCATTGTCTGGAGATCACTCTCTTGATACTGATACTGCCTTTGA